GATATTCAGTTTTAAGGCCGATACCGATAGGGGGCCGATTATATCGTGCATCCCTACATCATCTCTTTTAATGTATCGTGATAAATCGTATTGTAATCGTATATTTGGACACATGTATCATGTTGCAAATGTCTCACCATATATGCTTATGACTGTTGAATACCCATGTGACTTCATAATCATGTTCTGCTCCTACAAGGAATAATATTTGTGGATTATTTTTTCTTTTGAGAAAAAACTGGAAATGTGTCCCACTTGAGTGTAATGGAGATATGCAATGTAGGTAGATAGGTAAAGTAGGACCATCCTCCTCCAACGCCTCAATCCCTTTGACTGCAAGGAATAAGTTTAAAAATGTACAACACAATTAGACATATATAAATAAATATTTTTTTTAACAAACAAACTAAAGTGTTTGTCCTGTTTGTTTTTTTTATGCGTCAGACTAAATCAAGTCTGTGCTTAATTGAGAAAAATTGGATTTTCAATCAGATCTCCAGGTTCTTTGTGGTAAACCTCTACCAGTTTTCTAAACGTCGAGGCTAAAATGTTCAGACTTTTCTTTGATGGTTTAGCAGCTTCATTTCTGGTCAATTTCATATAATTGTATAACGTGACAAAATGTGAAATTGTTCACGGATAATTAACACATTTTCCAAGATACACATATATTCACCAAATAAAGCGTCTTTACTAGGATATAAACCACAAACACATCTAAAGCCCATTATCTGTAATCAGAGTCTGCCAACAGTCTGCAGTAAAGTATGCTCCAGTGTAATCACACTGAGATTCACTTTGGGAGGCCTTCTCAGGCCAGATGCCTTATTTGGCCACAGGTCTGTATGATGAAAGCATTGCTGCATCAGCAGTGGGGGTCTGAAGGGTCTTGGAGTTGGTGAGGAAGAACCACAGCTTTTGAAATGTAGAGGACTTTGGGAAAGTTGGTGGCAATCATTCTTTAGGCCATATTATAAGACAAATCCTAATGAACCTCCACTTTCTCAGAGCTACGCTGCTGCTCGTACCTCTTTTCTGCATGAAGGTGAAGAGATCATCTAAAAACTCCTTCCTTTTGGGGTCGTTGTCCAGCTCGTACAGCTGCAGGAGATCACAGGAAGATTAAAAGCTTGTTGTAGTTGTGCTGTCTCTACAGCATGTTCAATTGAACCGTGTCAATTGTCGGCCTGACACTGACTGGATCTTAACAAACTCACCTTTGCAAAGTCTCTGGAGGCTTCTCCTCTTCCTCTGTTACTGTCGGCGTCGTCTGTCCATCCAGAGCTGCCATTCTGCATAAAAACAAAAAGGAGAAAAGCTCAGCAAACAAACGGAAAGAGACGCCAAACAAACAAGCGGGGAATCCTGTTTTCATGAACAAAGAAACTGAAGAAAGAAAATGTAGGTTGTGGGATGACATTATTTATTTATTGTTATTGTAGTTTCTGTGAATGAACTCTGAACTTTATTTTTTTTATAATTGTTCATTTGATTCATTCAGTTTTACTGCAGGTCTAGATGTTTAAGGGAAAAGAAGAACAACAAACCTTAAGACAAACATCCAGCAATAAAAACCGACGTAAACTCAGAGCTAAAGAATGCATTTATCCAGGGGTTGAAAGAGCAACTCTGGAGTTATTGTGCCCCTGATCTCCTAAATCCCCCTCCCCCTTCATCCTTAAACATCTCCATTTGACCTAAACCATCTGCATCTGGGCTGGCCCCCTGCCCCCACTCATGTCTTCCGACCCCAGCTGGATACACGTCCCCCCCATCCTTCAATCTTAACGCAGCTGTGACGGGTGGCCAAGTTCATAGAGTGTAGCTGGCTGTCAGGAGGGGCCAAAGGAGGGTGGGCCAGTCACTTGCCTTAGCGTGCATCTCTGCAGGCATGCACATACGCCCACATACGCAGACACAAGTGTGCAAAGGCTAATCATCAATGTGTGCATGTTTGTCAGTGCAGGAAGGGGGAGGGAGGGTAAAATGGCCCCACAAGATGGGAAGAAAGAAAATAAAGGCAGAAAGGAGTGCACGGTATGTGCAGACCAGGAATGTCTCCTAAAGACAAAACCTATAAAAGCATCAGGAATCAAAACAAGATCCTTTTGGAAAAGAGACGTTAATAGCTGCAGTGAGGGGTCTAGTTTCAACCAGGAGCCCATTGGTCAGTGGCAATTACAGGCTCTGAAATGAGAGCCAGGAGGGCAAAGGTTGTCAAGGCCTCTGAGAGCAAGTCATTTTCACCCTCTTACTCTCGTGTGTCTAACTGTTGTCAACATTCATGCTCCCTAAACAAATATTCATCAGCCATCAACCTGGACAACCGCTGCAAATGGTGTGTTTCAAGGTTAGCAGATAAACGCATGAAGAGTTGCGAAAGAACCGCAGCTGCTGGCTCCCTGACACACTGGAAGTACGGTTTTTATAAACAACGTCACACATGCAAAGTTCATTTTCCTGACTGAGAATCGTCAATTAAAACTCACATTCCTGATGTCTGTTTGAAAGGCAAGAACTTGAATGTTTAGTTTTCATTTTTTTCTGAGGTAAACAGCTTTTCTTATAAAGGGGGGAAGGAAAAAAAAAATCACCTTTTCAATGAAATTACATAATCTATGACATGTGACTAGATTACAGCCTCTTGATTATATGAACAAAAACGGTGGATCTGGAGGCCTTCTAGACCTTTGCACATTATTTGACCACCTTTGTTAAACTTTAACCTTTTAAAATGGTTACAACTGAGGTTACTTCACATTTTACAAATGCCTACATTTAACTTAAGCATTTATTGAATAAATAACTTGCATAAAGTGCATAAAGTCCTGTTTCGTTAGGCTCACACAATGCAAAATATCTGGTTCTTACCAAGACAGAAACATCTAGAAGTGTTAGAAAATGTTGCTTGTTTTAAGACATAACTTCTAATTTTCTGCAGTGTATTAGTAACCATATGAAAAAACATGAAATTATTTGAAAGAAATTAAGATCCCATTAGTCTGATTATTAGTAAGCAAGTGCAGAGCAGGACTATAAATACAAATCAATCTTTCTTCAAGTAAATCTATTTTTTTCTGGATTTGAGCAGGTAAGAAAATTTCCCAATGCAATAAAATTATTTGTGTGTTAAACCAGAAAACAACAACTGTATTAACATTTTTTAAGTGTATAACATCTAATTATCATATTCAAATGGAAAGATTATTTTCACAGGCAGATCATTTTGTGTATCTGCTATAATTAGGGGAAAATACACAAATTTTAAGAAATCTTTCCTTATTCTTAGATCAATTTTAACAATCTGGGAAAACGTGACAAACTAATCATAAAAGATTAAACTACATTTGTTTCCCTGTGATGAAGTTTCCTCCTACTGCAGTTAGCTTTACCACGGGAACGGAGGATTGAGGTTGATGTTTGGTCGAAATGTTCCGCCACATCGCTCAACGTTCATCGTAGCTTTTTGGCAGCTTCAAAGGATTCTAACTATGTTCACACTACAGAAACTGATCTAAAAATGAGTACAGATTTCTTAAAATTAACACACAGTTTGAGCAGGTAAACAAGATGATCTGCTGATGGAAGGAAGATTTTATCCCCTTAAAATAAGTTTATTCCATATTTTGCCCTTGAAATAAGTCGTTTTGATGATATTAAATAAAAATCGTATTAGTTGCCATGTTGTTGAAGAAAAAGTGACGTGGTTAGACTTCAGGTTTTGCAGTGCAGGTAGGTTCACAGTTGTGCTAATTGTTCCACCAAAAACAAACAAACTGAGGCTTAGAAAGACGAGCCGGTTTATCATGAGATTAAATCAAACACAGCTTGACTCGAATTGGAATTTGCTATAAGCTGGGCTTTAAAATCAATCTGTCACACTGAGTTTTATTCATTCACTTTTTTTTTTCTTTTTTATTGTTTATCAATTTTATTCTTTTATTTAGGGGGAAGCAGAGTAAAAAAAAAAAAGAAAAAAGCACACAGTTAAATTTGTAAATGTTTAGAAAACTTTGACATAACATGAAACAATGTGAAAAAGCTTTAAGATTATTCTTTATTTTAACATAATGCCAAAGTCTTCCCTCCTCAGTCTGTCCTCCAGACCAATAAACTGTCCTATCTGGACCAGTTTTGTTCTGTGGAGCAGCAGCCAAGATCTTAGTTGCTTTTCAATCCCTTATTACCAAAACTTCAGGAACAAGAAAATTCTAGTTTATTATGAGACACTAGAGATTGAGTTTTTTCTTTTTTAATAATATTTTACAAGGTGTAGTTTAACAAAAAGCAAGATTAACAAAATAAAAATAAAAAAAACAAAAAGCACTAACAACATAAAGCAAATGGAGGGAGTTGCACAGCATGTTCCTTATGCATAAGGGTTTACATGCAAGTATCAGTCGATGCCGATACAAGAAAAAGAAAGTATAATTTGCCAAAAATATTTGCAAACGTACGACGTTCTGTCTTTATAAGACGCCAATACAAGAAAACCCTGCAACCAAAAGATGGCATCCTTATTTTACATTCACCAAAACTACAAGAGAAAACTATGAAGACTTGATCCAAACTAATTCTTCTTTCTGTAAACCTAAGGCCTCGACGTTAAGCTTAATCACAGACATAATTCCAGCATGCAACAAAAGATCAGGATCAAATGAAAGGGCAGGGAGTATAGCCGCCGGGTCACTGGACTTGAAAATGTTAAGGAAACACAAATGTGTTTATACACAAACCCCATGAACACTTGCACACGCATAGACAATCATGCTTCCCTGAGGGACACTGTTGTGGGAGAGCAGGGGTCAAGGTGTTGTGACATCAATGAGGACAAAGGTCTAAAGTCACTGATATTCTCTGCGCCATCAATGTCAGACTCAGGTTTTTCATAACTGACTGTAAAAGTATATATATATATATATATATATAAAAAAAAATAATCAAGTGAAATGGAAAAAAATACATAAGAAGCTCTTAAAAGGCAATGAAAGGAAAAAAGAAATCTCCGGTAATGAAGGTCTAAACAGTAAACTGAATGAACATTTATTCCATTTAAACTGCATTACACACAATCTAACAGAAATAAAATACTATACACTGCCCCTTATTAAATAAACAAATATTCAGATGCACCAATCTTTAAGCTTATGAATCGATCATTCCTGCTTGTAAAAAATGTAATCTATCCTCTCCATTCATAAAATGTTTCAACACAAAGAAGATTTTCCATCTGTACATTAGCAAACAGCGTGTGATTTCATATAGAAGAGGGAGATATTCAAAGAGGCTTTCTAACAGATTTATAAGCGCCGCCCTTAGCAAACAATCAGCAGCAACATTTTCTCCTAATGCTAATGACAACAGATCAGCAGGAAAGGCCTCAAATAAAAACATTTTTTTGGTTTTTTTACTTTAAATCTGCTTCAAAAAGTGATCGGTGCTGCAGAGACTATTTCCACTGTGAAAAAAGGAAATATGTTTGCAGTCAGTTACAGTAAGATAAGAGCTCGGATCGATTAAAAAATATATGGGGTGAATTTTGCTCCATTATTGTTTCAAGCTAAGATCGCAATTTATAAATGGAAATAAAAAAACAACACATTTTGAAAATGTAAATGTGAAAAAAATACAATCCAGAAATGAAACTTTATGAACATTTTTATCAAAAGAATAACTTTGCTGTTTTCTTAGACTCATTTTTTTTAATCATTTTTCTATTTATTTATTTTTATTTTATTATTTTTGTTTTTAAATCAGCTGTAAAAGTCTGACTTTTGATACAAATTTTTCTACCTCTACTGAGACGTATTTGTAGTTGGACGGAATAAAAACTGGATTTTATTTCAGAAGTATAAGGAGTCAATTTTGTTCCATTATGATCTAAAGCAAAGATCCAATTTTATAAGTATTAATCCATATAAAACACATATTATAAAACTGAAAGTTTGAAAAAAATATTTTTTTTTTTCATATTTTAGTTTTTCCTGCTTTTACAGATTTAAAATATAGGTATTTTTTTATATCCATTTTTAAAAGTTTTATAAATTGCATTATTTTTTACTTTCTTTTGCCAAATCATATTCTCCTCACTTTAAGTCCAATATAAACGCTCGGTCTTGACCAACTAGCTTTTGTTGTCATCTTACAAACCAATAGAAATGAGTCTTTGCTCCTCACTCCAGAGGATTGTTTTTTTCTTTTATTTTTTTTCTTTTATTTTTATTTTATAAGTATGTTTCAAGCTCTAATTTCTCAGTTGCATTTTTTTATTCCCATTTATAAATCATGGTCT